AAATTATGACACATTTGGTTTTGTTCACATTTCGGTTATAAAAATTGGCAATTACTATATTTCCAGAATACATTGTTTTCTTATTTCTATATTAAAACTTGTATCATTATAGACTTCAAAAAGTTAACATTTATATAGAGTTTAATTTTTAACTAATATGAGCGTTTAATCGTTTGTGCCCTCAATGACATACTTTCCATGCAGTTAGGACAAAAAATTATGTTAGCATCATGGGCGCAAAGGTGATTACGACTCTGGCGAAATTTTCGCCATCGTCGCAATTACCTACTTTGCGCCCTTGATACGAAAATAACTATTTTAGAAAAATGATCACTTTCCTAAATTTTTAATGAAATTGTTCTAATCGACCGAATCAATTTAGTTTCTTTACGAGCAGTTAACTATGGTCCCTAGCTTTAAATACATATGCATTTAACCACTTAACATTTATTTGGACACAAGTTATGAGTCAAAAACGAAACTATGCCCACAACCGAACCTATTCCCCTAAAATTAATTAATTGATTTCAGCAATCCCTACTAAAAAATAATCAGGAATCATGACAAATCACCAAACTTTCTGATTATTTTTCTGATGTTTTGTTATTATTTTTTTAATAGCAGTCCACTTTGTCGGACTCCAGAACCGGTGCCACTTGAAAAAAGCCGTGAGTTTTTTTCTATTTACATTATTTAGAACTTTATATATTACAAGAACTGGCAGATTAATATAGTTAATTGTAAAAATGAAGTATTGTAAAATATTCTATAAAGAGGCTCAAAACATGATATTCAAAAATTTGTTATAACTCTTTTTGAAAAGGATATAACAAAAAAACAAAGACTTCAAAAATTTATCTTCCAGTGTCAAAATCACTTATTCTACCATACTTTCTACAATAATTAATGAATTACAATACAATTTGGTACAAACTTTCAGTATACCAAATTGTATTGTAATTCTTTGGATCACACCCAGAGAATTGGTATATTTGTCTCAGAACCAACTAAACTATTTATTTGTTTGAAATAAAATTTTTACTCGACATAAGCAAAAGATTTATTTGAGCCAAATAAAATTTTATTTAAACCAAATAACATATATTTGAAACAAATAAAAAGTCTAGTTGGTTCTTATTGTGAGCCAAATATACCAATTCTCTGGGTGTGACCCATTACGCCCTGGTCTGAGTTCCCTAATGTCTTTTTGATTACAGACGCAAATTCAGCCAGCACCTTAATACTAGTATCGTAAGTATTTGTTAAAAGGTAATTAAAAGGTATTTACATTACCTCTAAAGTTTGTAAGCTTACATGAGAGTTTAATAATATATAACCTACCTTTTAACTACCTTTTTTAAGTATTTGTTTGTTTCTTAAACTTACCTTCTCTATGTTCCGATAAATAGTCGATCTGAATATTAAATGCGGAACTTTAGGGAATTTCTGTGGAAGTATTAAAATGTCCGCTTGTCAGGGAATATTAGCAGCGAAGCTTCCCTAAAAGTGTATTTGAAATTTTCAGGGAAATTCCAAGTCTAATGTTCACACTCAGGAGCATATTTTACATTACTTCTAAAGTTTGTAAGCTTACATGAGAGTTTAATAATATATAACCTACCTTTTAACTCAAAATGTCCGCTTTTAAATAAACTTATACAGAAGTGCTACTTTAAAATTACAGTGAAAGATTACGGCAAGCATGCATGGTACGGTTATGGTTAAATAATTAACAAAAAATAAACTAACACGTTTTTTTGAATATTAGTTTCACATGTAATCACCATATGCCCTAACAAAGCTGAATCTAAAATGTGAAACAACCATACCGAGATACGAACCAATTCTAACCTAAATACATACGACGAGTATTGGACACTGAAGAGTAACTGTGGACAAACCATTTATCTTTGTTTCTTGAAAATTTTGCTTTTGTCAAGTTTTTTACAAAAATCTAGACCCTTTTTCGAAGAAAGAGCTACTTTGCTACAAAAGATTACGAACTATGGATTCTGAAAAATATTGACTTTTTGTACGCCCTTTAACTAAGCTTAAAAATTATCTTCGTGTGTTAAAAATACTTGCAAGTGTCAGTTACAATGAAGGATGGACATCACAAGAACACATTCTCGGATCAAACTAAACAAGATCCGCACAGCCCGGTACCACGTGTCGCAAACTCGCTGGCAATATTACTTAAAAGCCGACATTTTCATGCTTCCACGGAATTTCGCTAAACTTCTACGTTTGACATTCCTTCAACATTTAAAGAATATTGCGCAAAAATAAAATTAATTAATTGATTTCAGAAATTTGGAGATACTGAATGCGGGTGAGTTTTTCCCTATTTATATTATTTAAAACTTAATATATTACATTGTAAAATGATTCTGTAGATGAGAGGGCTCTACAGAGCGCTCGATATGGAATTTAGACATACAGTAGGACGTTTAGAATTTCAACATTTTGCGAGGGCTTGAAATTGTAGACTCCATACACGATAGAGGAAATTGATGCGCAGCAATTTTCTTCACATGACGTAGACAGACAAGTTAGATCAAATTAGTTTTCTAGATAGAGAAAGCATTCGTGGACCTTGAAATTAGAGCCCACATCCCTATATTAAAGTACCAGTTGAGACTAATGGAAATTGAACATGGATCTACTGGTGTCTACTTGCTTTCCAAATTGAAAAACTTTTTCGCGTAGCAATTTTAGTGGTTTTAATTTGGAAATCCTATTTATGTAACTGAAACGGATATCCAAGATAAAATTTAAATGGTTTTGTTTTGGATTGTCCTCTTCAATTTTTGTTTGGGCTTGTTGCAACACGGATTTCAAATCTTATTATTTCTACTTGTATTTTTAAGTACGCACGTGCTACAAGTATCATCTTGCAATTCCAAATACAAAAATTATGTTTAAGTATCTACTTGGTTCAATTCGGAATCTCCAATAGTGCTTTCTATTTGGCATACCAAATTCAAAATCAACAAGCTTATGAGTTTGGAATTTTCAACTCAAAATTTATATAGCTCTTGGTTTAATTTGAATCGGGGATACATTCTATTTGGAATTACAAGTTTAAATTCAATTGATATTTATATATGAGTTGACATTATTGCGAATTGGCATTTATAGAATTTTTATTTTCGCTAATTGTTTTTTGGAAAATTATCATTTTTGTAAAGATTTATTATTGCAAAATGCCATTTTTACAAATATTTATTTTTCTAATTGTTATTTTTTGCGAACTTGCATTTTTCGCATTGAAAGTTTTATGAATTATTAGATAATTTTGCTAATTGTTATTTTAGCTAATTTGCATTTCACAAAAAGTGTGTTTTTGTTTTTGCGATTTTGAAAAAACGTGGGGAATTACGGACCACCTTGCAAACGTTGATTAAAAATCATAATTATTGGCTGAAAACATTTATTTATGATAAGAAATGAAAGAATACATATTCATTAATAAGAAAAAATGAAAATGTCAAAAAATTGATCTATTTTTCTTCTTTCGCGTAAAAATTTATTTCGATATGAGACTTCTTGACGATGCTAGGAATAAAAAGCTTCGCGAATGTTACATAATTTTATAACTTTAAACTTTTTCTATATAATTTGTATGAAAGTGGTTGTATCTAAAAAGGGCGTATAAATTGGTTTTTATAAACAATATTATTTAAAAGTTAATTGCAACTTCCCCTTAATTTTACACTTGAATTTGATAGTTTACTAGTGGACTATTTAATTTAAAAAAAATCTATTTAATTTGCATTTACAGTTTTTAAGCTATTAATGTTAAAAAACTTTAACTTAAAATATCTCCGTTTGTCGTTTTTTGTTATACGCCCTTCTTGCACCCAACGCCTCAATTAACCTGAGTTAATTCGGCGAAAGATGTAAAGAAAAACCAACCAACACAAAATGTAAAAATTACATTTGGAAACACAAATTTCAATTTGTTTTCGGAGCGAGCTCACAATACGTACATTAGCTTTGATTGCTGAATATAAAATGACATTAGCATAAAAGAAAGAGATGACAGTTGTTTGGAGCTGTCATCCACTACTATAGGAAAAAAATCCAGAACTGTTCCGCGATTCCCCACCTTCCCCTACTTTGCAAAAATGTCTTTTAATTGATAGGGTAAATGTGCCAATTACTGTCACTTCTAATCCAGCATTGATTTTAAAGATATTTAACATTTATATTAAGTAGTGCTGCATTCGATCGAGACGGTCCGAGAAACGAACGATTTTCTTTTTTTTATTGTTTTACAAACTTATATGTCATATTGTTAATACAGAATTCGATCGAGATTAATCTGAATATGCCCGAGCAACCGAGACTTCTCGTTCGAATTATTTAAATTGAAAATTCTGCAATATTAATATTTAAAACAATTGTTTTTATAATGGATGATATTATTATTTTTTAGATAATAATTTTATTTATAATATAAACAATTTATTATATTTTTATCATAGTTATAGAATTCTAAAAAAATATATATATAATATACATTATTTTATATACTTTGAATTTATTTCAATGGAAAATATTTTCAATATTAATTATTTTAAAAATAAAATTTATCAAACTTTATTGAAAACATAAAAATTAAAATAAAAGTTAAACTTTATTAGGATTAACTCTTTATTATTAATTTTAAATTATTAACTTTTTCTTCTCCTTTTAGAAATAAAATTTAATCAAACTTTTTTTATTGCAGTTTATTAAATAACAAATTATACAAGTTATTTAATATAAATTATTCGTGGTTAAATAAATTTACAAAACTATAAAGATTAAGTCGATAATTTTAAAACAGAAAATTAGTTTAGAGAAGTCCAACTATTCAGACATAAAAGTTGACGTGCAATGCTTTTTACCAATGAGTTTCTATGCTTTCTTGTTGCACTTTATTAAATAACAAATTATACAAGTTATTTAATATAAATTATTTATGGTTAAATAAATTTACAGAACTATAAACATTAGGTCGATAATTTAAAAACAGAAAATTGATTCAGAGAGGTCCAACTGTTTAGACATAGAAGTTGACGTGCAGTGCTTTTTCCCAATGAGTTTCTATGCTTTCTTATTGTAAGAGAAGCACGTGAAAATAACCTCTCAACTGGCACAGAAGTAGCTTGGATACTCAAGAAGTCTTTTGCCATCCGCGACAAATTTGGAAACTTGTGCTCATATTTTTGCCACCATTTTAGAACATCTTCATTTTTATCCGCTCGTTTTAAACTTAAATAATAATCGATTTCATTTCGCCAATTTTCTTTAACAGTTTTACCATCAAGAGAAGTACTAAATTTCTGATCACTAGATGTGAACAACGAAGATGGATTAATTTCATCGTCACTATCTAAATCGATTGATTGACTTTTTTCCAATTCGTTATTTTCGATTCGATAATATCTGCTCCTATAGATTTGTTCAAATTTTTCTATTGCCCATTTCGCCATCTCCTTGCCCCAAGGTGTTAAATAAAAGGTTTCTTGTTTATGCCGTGGATCAAACATTAATATAGCACAATATATCCAATTTGTTTTTGAATAATGTTTCATTAATTTAATGTAAGCAGATTGAAGAGCTCTTTCAACACTTGTTTCAGCCCAACTTTTATTTTTCCTTAAATTCAGATCGTTAATAGATTTTTCCAATTTATCGATTAACATGTTAAATCCTATTATAACCAGTGGAATTGTAATGTACTTTTCTCCACATAAAATATTGGAAAGAGATTTAAAAAGTCGCAAATATTTCACTGACGTTCTTAAAAGAGACCAATCGCGGTCTGTTAATTGAAAAGATTGAAGATCTATGTTAGTATCGCATAACAAAATTAAAGCCTTTTCTAGTTTCAAACCTTTGTCAATCATATCGCAAGATGAATTCCAGCGGGTAGTACAATCAATACACGGAGCTAACATTTCTATTCCTACAGTTACGCAAGAACATTCTAATTTTTTACGCATTTTTTCAGAATATTTTAATTTTAAAAACAAATTTATTAATTTGACAAGTGATGTTGAATCCGAATGGGAAAAATCTGGAAAGTTTGTTTCACTTTCGATTTCAGAATTCGTAGTTTCAACAGTATGATTGCTGTCACAGTCATCGACGTTATCATTTTCTTCAAAGTAAGAGTTGTTTGCGAGTTTCAACTGAAATAAAAAATCGTGTACACCTAAATTAATAATATGCGAGAAACACCTAAAATGCATATCTCCTGCTGAAAAATCTTTATCTATCGACATCATGAGCATTTCCAATTCGTGCATAAAAGTATTATTTGAATTCGTATTATCCAACGTTATGCCCTGTACTTTTTGTTCCAATCCATATTCAATTAAAAACTCCTTAAACAATTTAGCAACGTTCTTTCCAGTATGACATCTATCAGATGGTATTAGATCCAATGTTAGTGATTGAAGAACCCAGTCATCATTTATGTAGTGTCCTTTATCCAAATAATTTATAATATAAATAATTTATCATAAAAAATAAATAAGATTAGAAAAGTCAATGTACGAATAGAAAATTATAGTAGTTTTTTATATACTATTTTGTAACAAATAGGATTTTTATTTCAAAATTTTTCTAAAGTTAAAAAATTAAATTTGAATAATAAATAAAAGTTATAAAATTATTATTCTGTTAAAAAATATATAAAAGATTCAGAACCAAAAATAACTTTAACAAAATTATTAAATAATTGACTTATAAAATAAAAGTTTAAAAAAATTTTAAAGACACCCTGTAAAATAAAAATCCCTACAGTGTTGTAAATTAACAATATACACTTAATGTTACCAGTAATTCCATAAAATAATTCTTGTGCAATCGAGGTCCAACCATCCACACTGAAGGAAAGTTTAGAATTGTTATTCTTTAACATTTCTTTTACATGGATTTGTTTCTCTACAAACGTCTTTTCTATTAGCGATTTCAATTGTTCTCTCTTCGGCAATTTTGCATTTTTATTTAAATATGCGAAATATTCTTGGGTAATGGAATCATTGAAAAAATTAATTGACAAATATTTTCTGACTACTAATTACACAGTCATTTCATTTAGTTTTTCTTGATTAAATTTCTAAAATATATTTAAAGATTGTAAAATAATTATCATTGCATTATAAATTTTTACAGGTTGTTACTTTAAATTTAAATAGAATAAAATGACTTCATATAACGTGACTGGGTGATTTTTGGAGTCAGGATAAACTTTCATGTATTCGTCATTATGATGATTTTTTAGATGTCGCATTATTCCCGTAGTATTCCCATCTTTCATTTTTAAAACTTGAACAATTTTTTTAGTTGTTAAACACAGCTTACATTTTCCATATTTAAATTTTTCCTCAGAATTATAATCGAACTCGTAAACTTCATCAAGAATTTTTCTTCTCTTCTGCTTTTCCTCGAATAAATTTTGAACTCCATTTAAAGAACTAATTGATTCGTTTGAAATATCCGTCAATGAACTGATACATAATAAAAGATGCAATAATATTTTAACCAAAGATAACCTCGCATAATTTAAATAATATATCTTTTGTGTTAATAATAATAATAGAATAGAAAATACTTTGATGCAGATCTTTTTAATGATTCTCGTGATGTACTTGGATTTTCGTTTAAGATTCGATTTTCCATTTGCTTAGAAGTTTTTGTGTTTCCGATCTTCTCGTTCGCAAATATTTATTTATGATACGAGAAAAGAGTAATTAAAACAAATGATATAACGAGCAGTTACATTCATACACATGATTCGAATTCGATAGAGATTGCCAAGCAACCGAGAAATTATCAGATCGAATGCAGCACTAATATTAAGTAAAATAATGATATAAAACTAGTATTTCTAGCAATATTGGGATCTAATAAAAGCAAATGTAGGATTCCAACTCTAAAAGAAACATATTTAACTTAGAAAACACACATTTTAAAAAAATTGTCAATGCTGGTGTTACTGTCAGTTTGTGTGAGTTACTGTCAATTAATTCCCCAATTACTGCAAATGACTTAATTACTATAAATATTTTCTCTGAATACTGCTATTCCATTACAATTAAATTAAATTATTATATAAATAAAAAGAACTTAGGAGTTTTAACACATTTTATTAAAAAAACTGTTATTAATGAAATTAAATTATTATTATATTAATAAAGAAGGGTAAGAAACAAGAACACATTTTTTAGAAAACTCTCAAAGATTATTTGTTTTTTTTATCAACTTTTTTTAAAAGAAATTCTTCTTTTTTCCAAATCTTTCATTTTTTGTTCTTTTTTCATTAATTTCTCGGATTCTCTTTATAGGTAGAATGCGGTATCCCGAATAAAAATTAAAATCGCCAGTATGTAGGGTGTATATTGGTTGGCCTATCTGGCGACATAGGCCTGCGAGTCAAATCCTACATAATATGTACGTAAGAATGTAACGCTGGCCGTGACTAATTCTACGTAGGCCCAACATGGTAGAACCTACGTATCAGTTCTACTGTAGGTCCTACATAGGCCACATGATGTAGGATCTACAAACGCTTGGCTACATCTACTCTATGTATGGCAGAAGATGTAGAGCCCACGTAGCAGAAGTATATATGTTCTACGTAGGTCACGCTATATAGAATCTACGTAGTATTTTTCTGTAATATTTACATAGACCTGACTATGTAGAATGTAAATAGAAATTTTTAATACAGTCTATATAGGCCAATTGTTATAAGATCTATGTAGAGCTTATAAGTACTTTCTACATAGATTTATAATCACGCACAAGATATATAAATGAATTTGAAACTTCTATAATTTTATTAAATAGTAATTGTTGACAAAAAATTTAAAACTGCAATGATTTCTTTGCAAATAGTAGGAAATTATATTCTTATGAATTTATCACTTGGTAAAAATTATATAATTTAAATTAAAAGAAAAATTAAGTAGGTATTTATATTTAAACTAGTTTGATATCAACATTACACGCGGGAATTTAATTAATGTAGTTTTAATAAACAAACAGAAACTACAACTGACTTAAGGAATAAAATTAAGACATGATATTCAATTATATAAGTATATATAAATTTATTCAGTTTCAGTTATTCATTCTACCTATTCCTTAACAATTTTAATTATAAATTATATAAGTAGTTATTATATTCAATTTAATGATAATTATTTCATACACATACATTGTTTTAATTTATTAAATAAATGAAATTAATAATTTTTACAAAATATAATTAAAATATATATCAGTCCTTTAAAACTTTTTATAACACAAGAACACTTAAACAATTCACTTTGCAACAAATTGTTCACTTAAAAATATCCACTTTAATGTAACAATTCACGAAAAAACTCACTTCACAACAAAATATTAACTTCGAAATAATTTTATCACATGCGGTTTTATACTCTTTCTAACGAAAGCTAAAGAGCAACTGACGCTCAAAAGACCTTCAGAAAAAGATTTTACAGAAAATATTTGAAGTTTCTGAACATTTTCTCTGTATGTTTCAATCTGAAAGATTTCTAAGTTTTTGTCTAAGTAAATCTATAAGAAAAAAAGAGAAGTGGAAAAGCTATAAAATAGACCCCCTTACAATGAGGAACCCCTAGAGATGGTCAACCAAAATAAACCAGATGTGACAATACTGCAATAGTCTTTGTTCAAAAATGGTTTACAAAATTTGATAGCCATCCGCCATCCTGTCGTGTCGTGTCGTCTCAATATATAAACAGTTTAAAAGAAAAAGTTATACGATCTTATATATTACATTTCTAAGAAAGAATGATTTTCGATAAATAATTATTTTATAAAAATTGACAGTTATTTTTAAATAATTTGACATTTTTAGAATAATATAATATAATGCTAATCTAGTTATAAAAATATTTCTAACTTTTTGATAGTCCTCCGCCGCTGGTTGTCCACTGCCGAACATCATCGATGTCTTCGATGTGCTGAGAGAAGTGGATGCATATCCACTGCCAGACATGATTGACATCATGGATATGTTCGGTAGACCTTGTCGTGGTGGCGGGGCTTTCAACTAAAGGACAACCAAACAGCAAGAAAAAATGAATTCAAAAAATTCTGAGAAGGTACCCCATGTGAGCAGGCCGGAAACGGGAAATCTCACCATCGGTCCCAGGACCGATGCTCAAGTGCGCGCGGATTGTGGGGGCGCACAATTTCTTGCAGTGCCACGAGTGATCGTGGAAAGGGTAGATCCACAGAACATCGTGGAAAATAAAAAAACGAGGAAAGGAAGCACGTCGAGCCTTCTGAGTGTGTCAAGCTGCAGTAGCGGAAAAACCGTTCATAGCGCTATCCACTCAGAAGTAGACGACGAGGCGATAGAAGAGACTCGCGAGATATGCTTGCGGCTCAGAAAGGAGATGGCGACTTGTCTCGAAAAAATGGAGTTGGAGGTCGCAAAGATGATAAAATCTTGCGACATTCAGAAGACCGTCAATAGGACGGTAAAGGATGGACTCAAGGTCATCGACGTCCTGCTAAAGGAGGCAAGGGCAAAGCATGCCGCGGCCGATGAGTCGGACTTCGATTTGGCATGCGTTCTGAGCGGTGCGGAATGCAACCGCAAGGACCGTAAGAAAGAGAGAGAGCGTTTCTATAGGCGTAATCTCAAAAGCGTCTTAAGAGATGCTCAGAAACGGAAGAGAGAGGGTGACAGTCCAGAAGAGACTCGAACCAAAACCGATAAGAGGAAGAAGGAGGAAGCTCCTCCAATGGAAACGGAAGTACCAGATCTAAAGATTCCTCAATTGGAAAGAATTGGGTCAAAAAGATCCACAGTTCTAATCCGAGTCGGTGAAGGATTGACGTATGCTGACGTTCTGGGTAAGCTTCGCAAAGAGGTCAACCCAGAGGACAGCCATACGAGAATAGTAGCAGCAAAAGCTACAAACAAGGGGGACCTTCTGATTAAGTTCAGAGGAGACTCCGATAAGGACGCTTTCACCGCTGAGGTCACCAAGGCGGTTGGAAGTATGGGTAAGGTGCAGTCATTGGATCGAAGAGTTACACTCGAGATCCGTGATTTGGATTGCCTTACCCAAGAAGCTGAGGTGCAACAAGTGTTGTCTGAAGCAATGGGTAAGCCAGTAAACAGGAGAGTGACGGTCTTAGGACCCAACCGCCGAGGGATGAAGCTCGCGGTTGTAGTCACCAACCTGGAAGAGGCGAACAGGCTGGAGAAATTGGGACACGTAAAAATTGGTTTTATGTGTTGCCCAATCAAAAGAAGAGTAATGGTCGTCCGGTGTCATCGATGCCTGGGATACGGCCATATTGGAGCCAAATGCCAGAAGGAGGACAGATCGGCTGCGTGCTTTAAGTGCGGTGAGGCCGGTCACAGGTTCTCCAACTGTAAAAACAACTCAAGTTGCTTTTTGTGCAAGGAAAAGATTAGCAATAAGGTGTCAACCACCCATATTGCAGGCAGCGGAGGATGCGGAGTCTTCAGGACGGCCCTTGAGGAGGCGAAGAAGACTCTCGCAAGAACTAAAAGCAAATAAGAAGTATTAAAAGGAGCCAAAAAGCGTGATTTAAACAGCTTTTAATTTGTTTGTTTGTTTTTTATTAATTTATTTTGTGATTTATTTGTCCTTATACATTTTTTTGTTTAATTTGTTTTGTGTTTTTTATTCGTCTTTAAACAGTTTTATCTTTTCAACATTATATACGTGTTTACTTTTTTTTTCTTTTTTATATCCGTTTACAATTTTATCTTTTGACTTTTTACACTTCTTAAAATATTTGTTTTTTTTATTATTTTTGTGCTGTGAATTCCGCTTGGACTTTGTAATAGTTTTAATCATTTTTTTAACTACGGACGCAGGAGGACCGCAGAGAAAGGGAGAAGGTCGCATTAGCGACAGAGTTGGAGCGCCACCCTCGAAGGCTAAAGTCTTACGACAGTTCCGAGATAGGGTAAAGGGCTCCAGAAGAAGGGTTACGGGTTTTAGTGGGTCGGGCTGGTAGTAGGTCGCCAGTTTATTAAATTTATTATAACATTTATGTATTTATCTTTTTTTTAATATTTCCTTTTGTTTCATTGTACCAAACCCACATAACCTTGGAGTGCGGAATCCAAGGTATCTGTAGGCAGATTTCCCAAAAGTCCCTAAGCAAAAGAAAAAAAAAAACTTTTTGATAGTCAAAATTTTGTAATAAAATTTAGAATAAAAATATCTTTCATTAACAGACAACAGGCCTACATAGATATGTCTACACAAAACCTATGTCGACACTACATTGTGAGGCCTACATCAATTGACTATAGAAAGGCCTACGTATATCCTATATAGATACTACATTTTACAGGCCTTCATAGGAAACTCGACGTACACTCTACATAAAATGTACATAACTTGGCCTACATAGAAGGCCTATTTTAATCCTACACAAACACTACGTAGTAAATACATAGGCCGTAATATTTTTTTACTTGGGATATTATACTTTTTCGAGACAGAAAATACCGATTTGCCTAACATAACCTCTTCTAGAGCTAATTTTACACTATCTTTGGAGTATTGCATTCTACTTCTCTTTGGTTTTTTTTTCTCCACCTTCTTTGGAACATTTTTTTTCTTTCGGTTACTCATTGTACTTATTTTACTATTGTTTAAAACCTAAAAGCTAAAACTAAACTAAGCTAAGCAGAAATTTAATCTCACGTGAGACCCATAGCGTTGACGTTTATGTCAAGTTTGCATGGTTATGTCACACATTTTTCGCGACTGACAGTAATTGGTAAAAAGAGAAAAATCATGTCCCAAATATTGTTTCAATAAAAAAAGGTTAAAATACTTAATTTTTTATGTTTTATTATATATATTTTGAAAAATTATTTATTTTTAAAGCGAAGAATACTATTGCAATAAATATTTTTTCTTGAAAGACAAAAATATATATACTTTCCACAACGCGTACAAGGCATGTCCACAAATCTCTGAAGTAAAATTAGCCATTTTTGTCACTTGCATATTTGAAATTAATATAAAAATTATAAAACTATTTTTGATATGGTTATTTTCAATGTAATTATTTAAATAATATTATAAATAAAATTAATTCTTTCATTACAAAAATTATATTCATACTAAATATTTTAAATCATCATTTTTATTCAAACTGACAGTAGTTGGGGCATTTGCAGTAATTGGCACACTTACCCTAGTTCTGACATGGAAACTAGGTTTAGCCGTAATTCTACTGAATTAATTAATTAATTAATTAATTAATTACATCTGAGCATTAAAATTAAATTTTTAATTAATAATTTTTTTACGTCGAACTTACCCAAATATGATATTTTTCCTATGTGTTCTCGATTTAATTTTCAATATTGCTATTTAAAATTGGGACGAGGTGGTAAATGAAAATTATGTTGTTTGAATATAGAGAATTTGTATATTTAAAATATTAACATTTGACACACAAAATACGAAACTAGAGTAGACTATGAGCCTTTTAATGTCAGAGCATATAATGAGTCTAAATGTACCTTGGGCAGCGGGTGGTGGTCTTCCGATCCTCGTGGCTTCAGTTACAATAGGTATTGTTCGCTAATGGGTTTTTCACGGCAAGCGTCTCAATGGACAGATGCAAGTTTCCAGTTATACTTGTGAACCTCGTAAACAATCCTTTTGACCAAAAAATTACGTATTCTTCTACTCAAACACAGAATTTGGAGAAACTCCGTATTTAAAAATATTTTATATTTCAAAGATGCAACAAGGACAACCACTTATACTGGGAAATTTTAGATCGCTTTGATACAGAGTAGTACTTCTTGAAGATGAAATTTTTAGACTGATAGTACGGACGACTATCTTTGATGAATACATTTTTAAGACTGATTTCTGATTAATAATTGTTCCCTTTTTATACCAAAAAAAGGTTCCAGTCGGCAGCTATATTCGATGTTTATTAATTATTATAATTATTATTAATTATTATTTATCATATTATTATTGATTATTGAGAGTAAGTTACGATTACGTAACAATTTATACTAAATAATATATATATGAAAAAAATAAAATTTTATAAAAATTTATTTTTTTCAAAGTTGCACTTTATATAGACAGGTCGAAAATAATTTTTCACGTCGGTTTTCAATCATATCTAAAAAATAAAAGAAGATACAAAAAAACCTTAAAAACGGTTAAAAATCTTATTACATTTATTTACTCTCCCTGCCTCACGCAGGGTTTGAGGATGCTTAAAATCGACAAAAAGCGTTACCAATTTTCCCTTCTTTTGCCCCAAACTCCTTCCCACCAAAAAAATTTAGAGAGTACATGTGATACTTCCCATCCTTTTTCTAAACCCTGCCTGATTCTGTGGAATCCTCCCCCAACCCTTCCACACACACCTCCAGTCGCCGCCTTAGTATTTCTGCGTAGATTTTATATCCCACCGGCATTAATGTAATTCCCCTATAGTCTTCTACCCTTTTTCCTTCTCCTTTTCCTCCGGCCATCCCTCTCCCTTCCACACTCTATTAACTGCTTTCCACATTTCCTTTCCAAACCATCTCCTCTCCAAAAATTAAACTCTCTGCTTCGATGCCATCAAAACCTTCAATTTTTTCTTTAACTCCATCACTTCATTGCTCTCCCTCTCACTTCCCAACTCCACCAACCACACTTTTGGCCTCTCCCTATTATCCCCTCCTCCTAGCCCGCCTTTAATTTTCTAATAACTATTCAACTCTTCCTTCTCTCTCTTTCCCACCTTTCCACTAGCTTCGTTAGGTCAGCTGTCTTCTTCTCTACTTCCGCCACCTGTTTCTGATCCAACCCATGTTTACTTCACCCCCTCTTTCCTTAATCTCCAGTTGTTTCACCCTATTCCGCAAATCCTCCAGGTCTGTTTCCCTCTCACTCTCACTTTTCCCTATTACCGTCTCCAGCCTTACCAACCTATCCATTATATCCTCCCTTTCCTTCCTCCACGTCACCT